TTCTGATTCAGTTTTGAGAATGTATTTCTCTAGGAATTTGTCCATTTCATCCATGTTTTCCAGCTTGTTGGCATATAGTTGTTCATAGTATATTCTTGCCATCTTTGTATTTCTGTGCTGTCAGTGGTTACTTCTCCACTTTTGTTTTGATTTCATTTATTTGGTTCCTCTCTTTGTTTCTTGACGAATCTAGTTAATGGTTCATCAATCTTTTTTATCCTTTCAAAGAACCAGCTCTTGCTTTCACTGACTCTTTTTTAATATATATATTTCTTTTTAAATGTTTTTTATTGATGTTTGGCAGAGAGGAAGGGAGAGGGATAAAGAGTTAGAAACATCGATGAGAGAGAAACATTGATCACCTGCCTCCTGCACATCTCCTACTAGGGATGTACATGCAACCAAGGTACATGCCCTTGACTGGAATCGAACCTGGGACCCTTGAGTATGCAGGCCAACCCTCTATCCACTGAGCCAAATCAGTCGGGCTTAATGTATTTCTTTATTGATTTCAGAGAGGAAGGGAGGAAAGAGAGATTGAAACATCAATGATGAAAATCATAGATGGGCTGCTTTCTGCACTGCCAACTGGGGATCAAGCCCACAACCCAGGCATGTGCCCCTGGCCAGAATCAAACTGGGGACCCTTCAGTCTGCAGGCTGATGCCCTATCCACTGGAGCCAAGTCAGTTGGGGCTCAGACTTTTTATATTGCTTTTGTTTTAGTCTCTTATATCCTTTATTTCTGCTCTGATCTTTATTATTTCCTTCCTTCTACTTACTCTGAGCTTTTCTTATTGTAATCTTTCTAAAATTCTTTAAGTTTTAAGGTTAATTTATTATTAATTGTTCTTGTTTTCTGAGGTAGGGCTGTACTGCTATGAACTTCCCTCTAAAGACTGCTTCTGATGTTTCCCAAAGATTATGGGCTGTAGTGTGTTCATTTTCATTGGCTTCCAGTAAGTTTTTAATTTTTATCTTGATCTCATTGGTAATCCATTCATTATTTAATAACATGCTATTTAGCCTCCAGGTGTTGGAGTGTTGTTACTATAGTTGATTTCTAATTTCAATCCATTGTGATCTGAGAATATGCCTTATATGATTTCATTCTTCCTGAACTTGTAGACTTGTTTTGTGTCCTAACATGTGGTCTACTGTGAATAACCCATGTGCACTTGAGAAGAATGTATATTCTTTAGCTTTAGGATGAAATGTTCTATAAATGTCAATTAAATCCAACTGATCGAGTGTATTTTAGAGTCCCTGTTTCTTTGTAAATTTTTTATTATTTTGAAGAGCTGTCCAGTGAAGTAAGCGGAGTGTGAAAAGTCCCCTACTATGAATGTATTGCTGTTGATTGACCTCTCCCTGAAAGTCCTCTAGAAGTATATATATATATATATATATATATATATATATATATATATATATATATATATATTTAGGTGCTCCTATATTGGGTGCATATATGTTTACCAATGATCCTGTTGTTGGATCATTATCTTTAATATTATGTAGTAACCTTTATTGTCTCTTGTGATGGCCTTCAATTTGAAGTCTATTTTGTCAGGTATGAGTATTTCTACCCCAGGTATTTTTTTTTTAAAAATATATTTTATTGATTTTTTACAGAGAGGAAGAGAGATAGAGAGCTAGAAACGTCGATGAAAGAGAAACATTGACCAGCTGCCTCTTGCACACCACGTACCGAGGATGTGCCCGCAACCAACGTATATGCCCCTGACCGGAATTGAACCTGAGACCTTTTAGTCAGCAGACCGATGCTCTACTACTGAGCTAAACCGGTTTTGGTGGTATTTTTGTTTGTTTGTTTTGTTTCCATTTGCATGTAAAATTTTTTTCTATCCCTTCATTCTCAGTTTATATCTTATGTTCTGAGGGGGGTCTCTTGTAGGTAACATATAATTGGGTCATGTTTTTTATCCATTCAGTACCCTTATGTCTCTTGATTGGAGCATTTAATTCATTTACATTTAAGGATATTATTGATAGATACTTATTTATTGCCATTTTAATTCTGTATGCCTAGGTTTCTATTTCCCCCTATTTCTGCTCATTATAACAGTCTCTTTAGCATTTCCTGCAATGCTGGGTTGGTGGTGATAAACTCCTTTAGCCTTTTTTTTTTTTTTTTTGTCATGGAATCTCTTTATTTCACCATCTATTTTGAATGATAACCTTGCTGAATATAGCAATCTTAATTGTTTCAGATCCTTGCTTATTATTACCTTAATACTTCATGCCTCTCCATTCTGGCCAATGGAATTTCTGAAAAATTATCTGACAACTTTATGGGAGCTCCTTTGTAGGCAACAAATTTCTTTTCTCTTGTTGCCTCTAAGATATTGTCTCTCTCTCTCTCTCTCTCTCTTTCCTCTCTTTTTTTGGGAATTTTAATTATGATGTGTCTGGATGTGGGGCTGTTTGAGTTCTTCTTTAGAACTCTCTGTGCCTCCTGAACTTGAGTAACTTTTTCCTTTACCAGGTTAGGGAAGTTTTCTGCCCTTATTTCTTCAAGCACATTTTCTATGCCTTGCTCACTCTCTTCTTCTGACACACATATTATGCAAATATTAAATTTCATGTTGTCCACAGCTCCTTTAAGCTGTCCTCCAGTTTTGTAATTGTTTTTCTTTTTGGTTCTCTATGTAATTTTTTTTTCTACCCTATTAATTCATTGACCCGATGCTCTGCTTCTCCTATTCTGTTGTGTATTCCTTTCCATGTTCTTTATTAATTCTGTCATTCTTTGTAGTTACTGTATCTTTTCTTATGCTGTTGAACATCTGAACTCTATATCAGATACATTTCTTATCTCCAATTTATTTAGCTCTTCTTTGGAGAAATCTCTTCTTTCATTTGGGGGGGCGGTGTTTCTCATTTTGGCTGCCTATTTGGATTTGTAACTATGTACTAGGTAGATCTGCTACAACAACCAATCTCAAGTGCAAGACAGTGTCAAATGCTGTTTCTAATTAATTAGATCTAGCAAAGACTCAAGGCCTCCAGAGAATGCCACTCTCTACAGACTGATTGGATTTATTCTTGAGTAGCCCTCAGATAATCAATCATCCACAGGTGCAATGCAAGGTTTGCCAACAGGTGGACAATTGCTTCTACCTAGAGGCTAATTGTTATTCTGTCTTTTAATGGGCTGCAGAAATTTCACATGGTGGGCAAGGGGCTTTCCACTAGGGTGGATCAACTATCTTCTTTCCCAGACAAAAATTGCCCGGATAGCCAAAGTCTGTCTGACAAAGATGACCTCCACAAGGTGAGGAAATGACCCAGCACAGGAAACCGGGGTATCTGCCATCTGAGCAGAAGTCCAGAAACCCCAACCCTGGTTCCTAGTCACACAGCTCCAGTCCACTCTGCCCTCCCCGTGTTGGAGCCCAAGGTGAGTGGCTGCAAACGAAATTTTGTGCGTGGGTCTTTTGAGAGGGTGCTTGCATTTCCAGCTGTCTTTCCCTGGCAGACACCAAATCTGATTTTCACAGTCAGATGTTATGTGGGTACTTTTCTCAGTTCTGTTGCTCTCTGCTGTGGGATCCAGCTTGGGATTTAGACTCCAGATTTCTCAGTGGCAACCACCCATAGCTAAGATCTCTCTCTAGAATTTCAGCTGCTATCTATGGGAGCCCAGCCAGCCTTTTTGTGCCTCTGTCCTTCCTACCAGGTCTCTATATGGTCTCCCACTTTTCATCCTTGATTATCAGGCTTCTCTCAAGATAGTCTTTAGTTGATTATTCAGAATTTTTTTCATTTATTATTTTAGTTGTAATTCCAGTTTGGTCCTGGGAGCAGGTTGGTGTAATATCCACTACTTCACCACCATTTTTAATCTCCCAGGAAGTAGTTTGTATTAACACTTATAAAATATGGCTTGTTCTTTACTTTTACATACAACTAGAAGCATGAAATATAATACGTGCACTGAGGTGGAGGAGTGTGTGTCCCTCAGCCCAGCCTGCACCCTCTCTAATCTGGGACCCCCGGGGGCAGTCGGACATCTCTCACAATCTGGGACTGCTGGCTACTAAATGCTTGCCTGCCTGCCTGCCTGATTGCCCCTAACCTCTCCCGTTGGCCTGATTAACATCTGACTGCCCCCCTGCTGGCCCTATTGCCCCCAACTGCCCTCCCCTGCTGGCCTGATTGACTCTAACTGTCCTCCCCTGCAAGCCTGGTCCCCCCCCAACTACCCTCCCCTGCTAGTCTGATCTTGTCCCCAACTGCTTTTGTCTGCCTGATCCTCCTAACTGCCCTCCCCTGCCAGTCTGATCTCACCCCCAACTGCCCTCCTCTGCCAGCCAATTTGGTTCTGATTGGTTCATTCCTATGCCAATCAGCATTAAAAGCTCTGCCTCCTAAGCAGCCATTGACTCCTCACAATTCACCCAGATTTGGTTCTGATTGGTAGGTTTCTATGCCAGTTAGCATCACTGGGCCTATCAACAGGGCCTGATCAGAAAGGTGGGGCTGACCAGCAGTGCCGGTGGAGGCCTGGAGAGAAATGGAGGAGCAGCTGCTAGCCAGGCCTGGAGAGAAAGAGAGAGTCAAGTGCTGATCAACAGTTGCCACAGAGGCTACGGATCAGACCCTTCTTCTCTCTTCAGGCCTTTCTCTGGGTCTGATTCGCAGCCCCCTCAGCAGTCCGTGCTGGGTCAGTCACTAGGCCTGCTGACTGCAGGGCTGACTTCCGGTTGGTGGAGCCTCCAGTTGTGCTGGACCCAGGGTTTTTATATATTTGGATGAGCTACTGAAAAAATATGTAAAAGTCAATCTAACTTCTTCAACCTTCTTTAAAAGAATGAACCTTTACATTTACATATACCCATTGTTCCTGTCCAGTCATGGTGAGTTTTCACATATAATTATTTTACACTTCTTTATCATCTATTGCCCTTCTCTAGATTTCATATTTACTTATGGTCATTTCCCTAAATCATTATGACTTATTTTGACCTACTTACCTATTGTTGTTCTATTTTTTCCAACTAGCCAGCAGTGATAGCTGAAGAGTGATAAGACGCTGATGAAGAACATTGTAGACACAAAGAAAAGAAAAAGTACATGGAATTTGGCACGTGTATCTGTGAGTTCATTCTGAGAAAAGAGAAAAGAAGTATTAATTCTAATAATAGTCAACGTCTAGCCCTAACTGGTTTGGCTTAGTGGATAGAGCATCAGCCTGCGGACTGAAGAGTTCCAGGTTTGATTCCAGTCAAGGGCATGTGCCTTGGTTGCAGGCACATCCCCAGTAGAGGGTGTGCAGGAGGCAGCTGATCGATGTTTCTCTCTCATTGATGTTTCTAACTATCTCTCTTCCTTCCACTCTGTAAAGAATCAATAAAATATATTTAATAAATAAAAAAATAAAAAATAAAGATAGTCAATGTCTAGGATGTACTCTTATGTGGTTTTACAATAAAAATTTGCCAGATATGAAGAGTAACAAAACAAATTAGATATGTCCAAAAATAATATTTTTGAAAGCAAAAAATTGGTATTATCAAAGAAGCTTGCTTACATAAAATCAGAGCTATTTACAAAATTGCTTTTAAACAATTAAAAAATAGCAATACTTTCAGCAATAAATAAAAAGATGGATTCTTTACCCAACGCTTTTATTTTGTGCTTTCTGCATAAGTGAAAACCTTTCCTCCAACATCCAAGATATAGGACAGTTTTCACATCAATGCTAAATTATCTTCTAATTTTAATAATATATAATGCTTACCAGAAATTAATTATGATATATTTATTTTTGAACTTTTCTAATCTCTATTCTTGGAACACCAATACAAATATCAGCTGTTTCCATTGCTATCTCTCTAATCCTTGCTCCATTCCTACAGAGTCTTTTTTGGTAGTTAGCAATTTTGGTAAATGAATTTAAATTTAACACAAATTATGAGGGAAATAAAACAGTTTATTGGTTACCCATTCTTATGGCAATGTTCATTTTATTATTTTATTTATTTTTTTTAAAGCTAAGAGTTGTTGGTTTTTAAATATATTTTGATTTTTACAGAGAGGAAGGGAGAGGGATAGAGAGTTAGAAACAATGATGAGAGAGAAACATCGATCAGCTGCCTCCTACACACTCCCTACTGGGAATGTGCCCAAAATCAAGGTACAAACCCTTGACTGGAATCGAGCCTGGGACCCTTGAGTCCGTAGGCCGACACTCTATCCATTGAGTCAAACCAGTTAGGGTGGCTATGTTCATTTTAACAGAAGCAAAGTATTAACTTAGAAGAAATTAGTATCTAGTGATAAGATAAGAAGGAATCTTTTATTTATTTACTTATTTTTTAAATATATTTTATTGATTTTTTACAGAGAGGAAGGGAGAGGGAGAGTTAGAAACATCAATCAGCTGCCTCCTGCACAACCCCTACTGGGGATGTGCCCGCAACCAAAGTACATGCCCTTGACTGGAATCGAACCTGGGACCTTTCAGTCTGCAGGCTGACGCTCTATCCACTGAGCCAAACCATTTTAGGCTAAGGAGGAATCTTTTAAAACTGTGTAAACATGAAAGCTACTACACAAGGTGGTGCTATCTGACTTAAACACTATTTACAGGCTAAAAGAAAGGTCTTCAGCATTACATAACTCTATTGTTCATCATCTCTTCAACAGTAACCACAATACCTTGTATTTTTATTAATTTTAGAGAGAGGAAGTGAGAGAGAGAAAGAGTATGAAACATTGATCAATTGTCTCTTACACATGCTCCAACCAGAGATAGGACCTACAATCTGGGTATGTGCCCTGACCGAGAATTGAACCTGCCACCTTTTGGTGTACAGGCAGCAATCCAACCAACTGAGCCACACCCACTAGGGCAACCACAATACCTTTAAAACATCTAGTGGTCCTGGCTGGGTAGCTCAGTTGGTTAGAGCATCCATGGTCAGGTACATACAAGAAGGAACCAGTGGGGAAAAAAAAAAAAAGCAGCAACCAATGAATACTTAAATAAGTGGAACAACAAATTGATGTCTCTCTCCCCTTCCACTCTTTAAAATCAATCAATAAATTTAAAAAAAAAAAATCAAGTGATTCTATCTCCCTTCTTGTAAAGCAAATAAATATTATATATTTATGTATATATTCACTACAAACATCATAAAGATGATAAAAATGTCATGGCAGTAATGTGTTTTACCTTTGGACAACTCTGTGTAGATTTCCTGTGGCAAAGCTTGTACAAATAAAGACAATGTATTAAGAAACCAATTTTTAAACAACATTTTCCTGAATACTACTGTTACAGTTTTGTTTTGAAGGAACACTAAGATGTTACTCTCTAAAAAATCATTGACATTTTCTCAAAAAACACAAAACAGACAACATTTAGCTCTTCACATTTCAGGTACATTTTAAATACATACTTTTCCATTGTGTTTAAAACAGATTTGTATTTGAGATATAATAAAATTAAAAATTTTTAACAAATAGGCCAGCCGGTGTGACTCAGTGGTTGAGTGTCGACCTATGAAACAGGTCACATTTGGGCTCACTCCCCAGTGTGGAGCATTCAGAGGCAGCTGATCAATGGTTTTCTCATCATTAATCTATCTTTCCCTCTCCCTTACTCTCTCTGAAATCAATAAAAGCATATAAAAAATTTTAGCAAGTAGTTTTTAAAAAAAACCCACACACACTTCTAATTAGCAGTTTTTAGATCCAGATGGGACAATTTCTCATCCCCTTGTTATTGAAACAGCCTTTTAAGCAGCTGTCACTTGCCCCTCTCTGTTTTAGTGTCAGCACAGCAATCAGTGTTTCTTCACATCATGGCTGTTTCCATTTCACTGAGTAGAAGCTGTGATCCTTACAACACTTCCCAAGCCTCTTTATTTTTTGGGCCCATATCCGGGACTTCCCACTAATTTCACTCTTGTTCACCACCTCGCTAGATTCCTTTCTCCTGCTCAAACATGGCTGGGACACTCCTAATTTCAGATATTATCCTCTATTTGAAATGCTGTACTAGCAGATATCCCCAAACTGTCTTTAAGTCTTTGCTCAAATATTATTTCTTACTTAGGTCTATCCTGAACACTTTTATTTTTCTTAGTTGAGATAAAACCGACATAACATTTTATTAGTGTCAGGTACACAACATGATTTGATGTGAAATATCACTAAAATAAGTCTAGTTAATATCCATTACTTCCCATGGTTACAATTTTTTTCTTGTGATGAGAATTTTTAGATCTACTGTCAGCAACTTTCAAATATCCTTATTAACTGTAGTCACTATAGTGAACATTACATCTCCAGGGTCTATTTTATTTTTACTATGTCTACCCACTTCACCCATTTCCCACCCCTTACTTCTGTCAACCACCAATCAATCTCTAGATCTATGAGCTGGTAATTTTTTTTATGTTAACATATAAGTGATATCATAATCTTTGACTAATTACATTTATAAAAATGCCTTCAAGTTCTATCCATGTTGTCCTAAGTGGCAGAATGTCCTCCTTTTTCATAGCTGAATAATATCCCACTATATATAGATACATCATCTTCTTTATCCATTCATCTGTTGATGGACACTTAGATTGTTTCCATGTCTTCATTACTATAAATAATGCTACTATGAACATAGACTTACAGATATCTCTCTAATCATTTTTTTCTTTTGATCATATTTCCAGAAGTGGAATTGTTCAAGCATATGGTTGTTTTCTTTTTTTATTGAACTCATTGAGGTCACATTGCTTAAAAAATTATATAGGTTTCAAGTGCACAATTCTACAACATATCATTTACCACCCTAAGTCAAATTTCTTTCCATCACCATTATCTCCCCTTTACCCTCTTCTACCTCCCCTACCCCCTTTCATCTGCCAATCAAATTTTAGGACTGTTTATTTTTGTGGAAATGCCATTGACATTTTGAGAGAAATTGAATTGAATTTGTAAACTATTTTTGGTAGTCTAAACATTTAAAAATCTCTATTGTTGAAAGTATTACATATGCCCCCCTTACCCACAATGACCACTTCTAGGTAGTCTGAGCCTTTTAACAATATTAATTCTTCCTATCCGCGGACAGACTATTTTTTCCATTTATTTGTGTCTTCTTTAAATGCTATCATCAATGTCTTTAGTGTAACAGGTCTTTCACCTCCTTAAGTTTATTCCTTGGTATTTTATTATTTGTAGTATGATTATAAATGGGGGTGTTTTCTCTTTCTGATTATTAGTGTAGTAAAATGCAACTGATTTTTCTGTATAGATTTTTTTATATCATAAGACTTTACTGAATTTATTAATTTTAAGTTTTTTGATGGAATCTTTAGGGTTTTCTATAAATGACATCTATAGACAGTTTTACTTCTTCATTTCATAATATCAATGTCTTGATTTTTTTAAAGTAATTTTGTAACCTTTAAAAAAGTATATATATTTTTATTTCAGAGTGGAAAGGAGAGGGAGAGAGTAGAAACATCAATGAGTGGCTGCCTCCCACTCGAACCGCACTGGGGATCGAGCTTGCAACTCAGGCAATTACCCTGATGGAGAATGGAACCATGACCTCCCAGTTCATAGGTCAATGCTGAACCACCGAGCCACACTGGCCGGGCAATGTCTTTCTTTATCTTGCCCAAAAACTCTGGCTAGGACTTCCAATATTATGTTGAATAAATGAGTGAGCATCCTTGTCTTGTTCATTATCTTAGAGCAGTGTTTCCCAAATTTTCGACATATGTGTACCCCTTCTATAATTTTCATAACGCCGAGTACCCCTCGTACTCATGAGAACGTAGAATTAGGCGAGCTAAGCACGGTGCAGTGCGTATCCTCACCAAACTCTTCCCATACCCCTGGGGGTATGCGTACCACACTTTGGGAAACACTGTGACTTAGAGGAACAGCTCCCATCTTTTCACAGTTGGTGTTAGCTGTGCACTTGAGATATATATAAAATCTCCTTTATTGTGGTCCAGTATGTTATACCCACTTTGTCAAGTTGTATATACAGGTTTGAATTTTAACAAATCCCACTTGATCATGGTGTATGATTTCTTTTTTTTCTTTTTTCCCACCAAGCAACCTACAGGGCTGCTGCTTTAATTTTTTTAAAGCATTACTGAATCCCGTTGAAGAATTTTTGTATCTGTTCACCAAGGATTTTAGCATGTAATATTTTCTTGTAGTGACCGTGTCTGGTTCTGCTGGCCTCAGAAAGTGAGTTTGGAACTATTCCCTCTTTTTCCATTTATTGAAAAAGTTTAAGGTAGGATTTAGTTCTTTAAATATTTGGTGAAATTTATCATTGAAGCCATCTAGTATTTTCTTTTTTTTTAACATATATTTTATTGATTTTCCACAGAGAGGAAGGGAGAGGGATAGAGAGCTAGAAATGTCGATGAGAAACATCGACCAGTTGCCTCCTGCACATCCCCTGCCAGGGATGTGCCCGCAACCAATGTACATGCCCTTGACCGGAATCGAACCTGGGACCTTTCAGTCCGCAAACAGATGCTCTATCCACTGAGCCAAACTGGTTTCGGCAAAGCCATCTAGTCTTGAACTTTTCTTGAGGGGGCTTTCGATGAGCGATTCAATCTCCTTAGTACTAATTAGTCTGTGCAGATTTCTATTTTATCATAATTCAGTGTTGGAAAGTTGTATGGTTCTAAGAATTTATCCATTTCTTCTAGGTTGTCCAATACTTGGCATATAATTGTTCATAATAGTTTCTTATATTCCTCTGTATTTCTATGGTATCAGTTGTAATGTCTCCTCTTTCATTTTTTATTTTATTTGAGTTCTCTCTTATTCTTGGTGAGTCTAAGTAATGGTTTATTTTTGTTTCTTTACAAAAACCAGCTCTGATATTCACTAATCTTTTCTATTTTCTTTTTAAGTCTATTTCACTGATTTCTTATCTATTTTTTAAATTCTGTAGATGTTAGTTGAATTTTTTAATGTTTATTGTTTAAAGTATTACCGTATTTTCCAGACCATAAGACGCTCCGGACCATAAGACGCACCAGTTTTTAGAGAAGGGAAATGAAGAAAAAAAGATTCTGAAACAAATAGTGTCCTAAAATATTTTATGTGCATTAAAACCCAACATCACAGTCATAAACACATGTAATCAACCCTGTAAAGTAAACAGCAGCATTTAGAACCATTTTAGAGCCGGGCAAGCACACAGAGACCACACAAAGCTGGGCAAGTAAAAAAACTTTTTTTTTAAAGTATATGAGTAGGCTATATTTGGACCATAAGACGCAGGGACTTTTCCCCCCCACTTCTGGGGGGAAAAAAGTGCGTCTTATGGTCCAAAAAATACGGTACCTCTTTTTATTCCCACTGACCCCTTCCACCAGCTCCCGCCCCCTGCCTTCACCACCATCTATGACAACGGGTTATGCATATATGCATACAAGTTCTTTTGTTGATCACCTCCCACCCAGCACTCACCCTTATCAGCCTTCCCTCTGAGATTCCCCACTCTGTTCCTTATCTCTGGAACCACGCCATTCATGAGTTTGTTAGATTCCACGAGTGAGATCATGTGATACTTATATTTCTCTGACTGGCTCACTTCACTTAGCATAACACTCTCAAGGTCCCTCCATACTGTCTCACAGGGTAAGACATCCTTCTATTTCTACTGCTGCATAGTATTCCATGCTGTAAATGTACCATAGCTTCTTTTTCCACTCATATACTGATGGGCACTGGGGCTATTTCCAGATCTTAGCTATTGTAAATTGTGCTGCTATGAACATAGGGGCCCATACATTGGTTTCTGGTTTCTTAGGATATATTCCTAGAAGTAGGATCACTGGCTCAAATGGCAGTTCCATATTTAATTTTTTGAGGAAATTCTATACTGTTTTCCATAATGGCTGCACTATTCTGCATCCCCACCAGCAGTGTACTAGGGTTCCCTTTTCTCTACATCCTCATCAGTGCTTGGCATTTGTGGATGGTAGCTATTCTGACAGGTGTAAGGTAATATGTCATTGATCCTGTGAATGTGTCTGTGTAGCATCAGCTTACTCCACCACCATTTTTAATTTCCCTGGTAGCTGAATTGTGAATGAACCCCAATCTGATTTTTGTTATTTCCTTCTTCCTACTGACTTTGGACTTTATTTGTTCTTCGTTTCCTAGTTCTTGAGGTTTGAAGTTGCATTGATATCTTTCTTGATTCTTAACATAGGTGCT